TTCTGCAGGGGGCACAAGTTTTATTTGCTCCACGCCTGGCTGCTCTTGCACCTTCGGTGTAGTCAGGTCCTGGCCCAGGTTCCAGACTTCATTTCCATGACTTGTGTAATAGTCCAGTACCTTTGTGCACTATGTGAAGCTACGTTTCATTCGACTCGAGTGCTGTTTTGCCTCTCATAGCCCTCCGAGCGTCACTCCTCAAATAGTTCATGCCTGAACTCATTAGATGGAAGAGAGCAAATCGTGGTGTTTTTGTCTCCTCTTTTTAGTTTTTTTCTCTGGCAGGTCTTGAACTATGTAGTTCAGGCTGGCCTCAAACTCACACAGTCCTCCTGCTTCAGCCTCCTGAGTGCTGAGATTAGTAGTGTATACTTTAGAGAGCAGGGTAAGTATAACCATATTCAGGGTAACAGCGTGGATTGAAGGAGCCAAGAAGGGTGAAGATTACCTAAGTAGGCCCAACATAGAGACTGGTGAACATAGGTGAACTGATTAAAAAAATATACTTGGGAGGCTGAGGCAGGAGGATCGCTGTGAGTTCGACACCAGCCTGGGCTACATAGTGAGTTCTGGGTCAGTCTCAACTACATAGTGAGACCCTGTCTCAAAAAAAAAAAAAAAAAAGATGAATTAAAAATGTGTATCTATATACGCACACATCTATATAGTGGTACCTTGGCTCACGAACTTAATTCATTCTACAATTCTGGAAAATATGGCCACATTCATGTTTGTGTAGGAAAGATGGCCGTGGTCTCATTCATCACCTACCACCTACCACCTAGAAAGATGGCAGAGACCAGACTGCAACGCGAAGAGATAAACTTGAATTGAGACATCTTTACAAAATAATTGGTGTGTAGTCTTCAGAGATGTCATGTTGTGAAAATTATAGTCTAAGGGAACTGTTCCAGACTGAAGAATGCTGGAAAGTTGATTAAATGCCACACATGACTGAGCTGCAAACCTTTGCCATAAAGATTCTGAGAATGGACAACAGGAAAAGCACGAGTCTGAGGATGGTATCAATGGTGATTTCCCGGGGCCGATGATTATATTCTAATTATGTAGAATATACTTATGTGCCAGGGATTAGCTTAGTGGTGCCACTGCCTGCCTTGCAAGCTCAAGGACCTGAGTTTGATCCCTGGTACAAAAAAAAAAAAGACAAGAGGATATACTTTTTTTTTTTCTCTCATTGAGTTTATTGGTACATTTTAGGTATGCAGTACAGTTACATTCATCATTGGGGTCTTGTACCTCTACGTGACAGGTCTTGGTTCTCATTTTTTCCTCTTGTCCCTGCCCTCCCTTCACCCCCTCCTCCCTTCCCTATTTATAAACACTTTATTTCCCTTTTTTTCATTTTCTCATGTTTTCTTTTCCCTTATTGCCTTTCCCCTACCCTTCCCACCTTCCCTACCCCTTTAGCCCCTTTCTTCCCTATTTCACATTGTCAATTATCTCATTAGGATCTTAAGTACCATTATAGTTTTTCACACCAGAGAAACTATTTGGTATTTATGCATGTGTGACTTATGTATTTCACTTAGGAGTGAGAGGATATACTTATCTATAGGTCTTGCCATGTAATTCAGGCTGGCCTCAAACTTGGGGCAACCTTCCTGCCTTAGCCTCCCAAGTGCTGTGAGTATATAGGCATGTGCTATCATGCCTGGCCCCACTCAATTTGAGAGTGAATGGCATCGTATCAACAATTTAAGTGACTCAGGAAAAGAAAAAGATATATATATATATATATATATATATATATACACATACACATACACATACACATACACACACACACATATATGTATATACATTTGGGGGGGTTGAGAAAGGGTCTCACTATGTAGTTTTGGCTGTCCTTGAACTCATTATGGAGCCCACGCTGGACTCAAACTTGTTGCAGTTCTCCTGCCTCAGTCTCCTGAATGCTAGGATCACAGGCATGCACCACCATCCTTGGTAGTTCTTTGTATTTTGTTGACGTTTTTCTGTTTAATGTTAGCATGCTTCAAAATAAAAACTTTTTTTTTTTTTTTTTTGGTATTGTGGGGATTGAACTCAGGACCCTGTACTTGGGAGGCAGGAGTTTGGAGGCAGCCATAGTACCATGCTTGCCTCCAAGTGCAGGATCCTGGGTTTGATCCCCAGTACCAAAAATAGTTAAATAAAAATAAATTTTTTTTTTGTTTTTTTGTTTGTTTTTTTGAGATAGGGTCTCACTGTATAGTTGAGACTGACCTGGAACTCACTCTGTAGCCCAGGCTGGTCTTGAACTCACAGCGATCCTCCTGCCTCAGCCTCCCAAGTGCTGGGATTATAGGTGTGCACCACCATGCCCGGCTAAAAATAAAAATTTTTATGAAAAGTTTGTTTGGAGTGCCTGATGATTGTATTCATCATGGGGAACTGGTACACGTATAGAACACATTTTAATTACTTTACCCCCCCCATCTAACTTTTGGGAGGCAAGGGTACTGGAGATTGAACACAGGGACTTCCCACTGAGCTATATCCCTAGCCCAATGTTTATTTAGAGGCAGAGTGTCACTATCATTATGTAGTCCAGGCTGGCCCTGAATTCACAGGGGTCCCCCTGCCTCAGCCTCCCAGTGTTGGGATTACAGGCGTGCGCCATTGTGGCCCTGGGTTACACTAGGCCTTTCAGAGTTGTCTTTGTTCCAGCATCTGAAATGTCTTTTCTCGGACCTATCTCCCACCCCGCACTCTAACGCGAACACCCCTAGATCCTTTGCTCAGTTTTAAAAGGCCTGAAAGAATAAGCAGACTTTTTCACAAACTGTAGTCACCTGCAGATCATATATATGTGCATAATTCAGTTGTAGACAATCACATTTTGTTAGTAATTTTACCTGTTTCTGCCTCTGTGTGGGCCATTCATTCCCTCTTCATATATTTATTTTTATTTTATATTATATTATTATTATTATTATTTGGTACTGGGGATCGAATTCGGGTCCTTGCACTTGTGAGGCAGGTGGAGGCACCACTGAGCGAAATCCCCGGCCCTTCATGTATTTATTGAACATCTGAAGATAACAGATCTTGTCCCTGGGGGTGAGGATGCACCTGCGAAAAAGAGTAAGAATTTGCAGTGAAATCCGCAGACAATACCGAGTGGGTGTGACTGGCGGTCCAGGACCGAGTGGGGTGAGGTTCAGCCTTCCGAAGTACTTCAGGCGCAGGCTGAGGTGCCCGGAGTCCTAAGGCAGCAGAAGGTCTGCGGAGCGAGGGGCCGGGGCGGAGTCATCCTGCGCATGGGTGCCGGTCCCTCGGTACTCTCCCAGGCTTTTTCTTTCCGGCAGTGGCAAACAATGACACAGAACCTCTTTGAGGTTGTTGACCGCCTAAGGATCGGACGCAGGAAGACTGGCAAGACTCTGAAGCGCTGAGACCTCGCTGAGCGTATCCCGCGTTCGGAGAGCGCGGAAGAGGCGGGTAGCTACGCTCCCCCGGGACCACTGCGCATGCGCACACACTCGCACGCGTCCGTTCAGACGCCGGCGCCGAGGGGGCGTGGCCGGCGTCCGCACCGGAAGTGGGTCGACTAGGTGGGCCCAGGAG